TGGCGCGCTCGTTTGCTGGTATCCCTGCCCAGCCAAATACCCTCCAGCCACGAGACTACCAATTTGTTGACCATGGCCCCGGGCCGTCCGCAGATCATCGCCTCGACGATTGCCGCGATCGGTTCCCGGCGCTGCATCGCGCGCGCCTGCGGGGCGCCGGGTCGGCGCCCCCCTGGCCGCGCGCCCGCTGCAAAGCAACGCTGCGCGGCGGGGGGGCCCAGGGGGGGGGGGCAAAAGAAAAAGAGGAGTCCGACGCGAAGTGCCCGCTCTTCATCTTCTTCGACACCGCCAGAATGAGGGCCCTCGCCTGCTCCCTCATATCCTCGATTGCTCTCCGCGCCCGACCGTTGGCCTGGGATTGGAATCTCCCTGCCTGCCTCGTCGGGATGGCGCGGCAGATAAAACCCTGCAGCGCCCGCTTCCCCGCCGCCGTGCTGAGTGTGAACTCTGATCCACCCGACTTACGATTGGACTCGTGAACGCCCCAGTTCAGCCAAGCGCGACACCGCCATGGCGATTGTGCATGGGTCGCCGCGCCCTTGCTTGACGACGGCTGCGCTCCGCGCGCCGCTCGAGGAGGCGTCGTTCCCAACCGCGAAGTCGAAGGTGACTGGGTCGCCCTCCTCTCCTGCCTGACCGCGATCGACACTGATAAGCGGAGACATGCTGCCAAACCAACCGTCGCGGGCGCCGCGTCGTTGGCCTTTGCCTGCGCGCAGACCGCGTGCCGGGGTTCTGCCGGGCAATGCATCAGACCGCGCCCCTCCATCACCACTGCGCTCTGTTCACGCGGTCCAGCGACGCCCTCCGCGAGCACCACGGCCCTTCCGCGGGCGCATCAGCCAGTGCATCTGCCGCTGGCCGTGCCCCCGCTGCCCGAGCCAGTGGCCCGCCTGCCGCCGGTCGGCGCCCCCCTGCCTGAGCTAGCGACCCGCCTGCCAGCGCTCGCTCCACAGCGTGGCCACCCCCCCCCCCTCCCCGTCGCGCCGCGGCGGCCGCGCCCATTGGCGCCGCGAGCGCGCAGTTCGCCATCGAGCAGTCCCAGGCGCGCCCGTTCGTAGCGCAGCACTCGCGTGCGTAGTGGTTGTTGGCCTCCTTCACCTTGGCCCTCGGCGAGTCATGCCGCGACGCGTCGCAGTGCCCCCCCGCGCCCATCGCGGCGCGCCGCTCGGTTGCCGGGCCTCATGCAGATCTTGCCAACGCGCATGATGAGCTGATTCGCGCCCATCACTTTGAACTCTAGAATGATCTTGCGGTTGCCTGCGACGTAGAGCGCCACCGTCGGCTGGCCGCTTCGGCTGGGCGACGTCTGCCACGGCCAATTTCGGGTCCCCGCTGGGCGTCATGGGCGCCCATGGGCAGCCGCGCGGGCCCAGCGCGCGTTCGTCCGCGTAAGTGCCGGTCAGCGCCAGCACGCTGGTCCACTCGTCGTCGGTCCTCGCCGCGCTGCTGATCATGAACCGCTCCGACGGTCCGTCGCCATGAAGATGTAGCCCTGCTCCGGAGGGGGCTCGGCGGTCGTCTTCTGCTGCGCGATGGACGCGGCTTTTCTCGGCGTCGCCTGCCCCTGATCACCGCATGCCTCGATCTGGCTGGCCGAAGCCCCTTCGGCCGGCGCCGCCGAGCCGCCGGATGAATCGCCCACCGGCATTCGTGCGCCCACCAGCGTTGCGAGCACGTTGACCGAAACGCCTTGGCTGGTCCGTTCCCTACATTCGCCTCTGGGACTCCGGGCCCCCCGCGACCACGCCCCTCGGGTCCTGTCATGTCGCCCGCCTGGGCCGGGCGCCAGCAGTCACTTGCGTGGCGGCCCCTGTGCCCGCGGTTGAAATATTCGGGTATGGTGTCTGTCTGGTTCGCCTTCCCACAAGTCTTTCTTCATGTCTTTCCGCCTTTGCCTCCCTCGCAAGTGCATGCCTCGCCGCCGTCGCCATTGCCGCCGCGGCCTCTGCCCCTGCCCAAGCCGCAAGCCCGAGCAAGCGCGACGACCTCTATGGCATTGAGGCCTAATGGAGGTCGGGGCGTGGGGGGGATGCCTCTGGTGCCCGACGTCGTAGATCGTCACCGCCTGCAAGCACTGGTAAGTGGTCTCCACGTGCTCGTCGTGGGTCCGCTCGCTTGCCATCTGAAGCATCGTCCTGCTGTTGTTGGGCGCCTTCTGGAAGTAGATGCTCGCGCCCGCGCTGTAAACACCAACTGAACCCCGTGTGATGTCGCGTCCCCACTCCGCGTGGGTCTCCTCGAACTCCGTTGGGCATGTGCGAACTCCCTGACATCCAGGACGCTTGTCGTGCCATTCTGGGTCCGACCTGTACTTGCTGCGCGATTTTCTCCAACATGCCGCGCAGTTCTGTAACTAGCTCAACTCCTCGTATGGTCATATGAGTGCTGCCTTACACGGCCATGACAAAGCCGAAACACATATTATGGTTTGCCCCGGTGACCTCGTAACCCAGCGAGTTCTGGATGCGCTCTGCCGAGATGTCATGCTCGTTCATGAGATTACCGGCCGCCTTCAGCAGGCATCGGGATACTTGTGTTTGGCCTCCGACGAAGGCTCTCATCACGAAGGACCACCCCTGCCAGTGCTCCTCGGGTCCGTGGATGTGGGCGGTTTGAGACCGCCTCCCTGCCTGTCGAAACCTGACGCCACTGTTGCGGTCTACCTTCTAACTCCGCCGGATCCCCCCCGAACGCCATTGGCTTTTCGGTCGGTCCCGATACCGCTATGGCAAGTTTCGCTTCGCCTCCTTGTGCCGTTGTACGGTCAACCGTGGATCGGCCGCGATGGCGCCGGCACGCGCGCGCGAGGGGGGGCCAGCGCCGCCACGGGGCGCTAGATTGAGCGTCTCGGCGGGTTCTGCTACCATGATGCGTGTCGTACAAAAGAGGGCTGCGGAATGAGCACGCAGTTGCACAATAAAGGTGTCAAAACTGCACCGCACCAGCTCCATTAGCTTACCTGCTACACTGCAGTCTTACCGTCGTGCATGCTTCACACGAGTCCAACACAAAAGAAATATGGCACCGATTGCACCTGTGCGAGGCGCGGAAGGGTGAGGACGCGGAAGGGGCGCTGAGTAAGAGGCGCGAGGCGCGAGGCAGGAGGACGCGAGCAGGCGAAAGGGGAGCAGGGTAGGAGTAAGGACAAATGCACCAACACGATCAGCGCGAGGCGCCATTGCGCAACTCATTGGACTGCTCGAGCAGTCAATGGGTCCTCAGGGCCATGATCGGCCCACCGGGAGCGCAGCCACCCCAAGGAGCCTATGAGCCAACGCAGTCGGAGTCGGCGGGCCAAAAACCCGCGGATGAGATGTCTGCTTGCGCGACCGTGCCTCCAGACCCCTGGCCGCCCAACCCCAGCCGGTGTTCGGGGACGCCGTGCAGGTCGGGCAAGCACGGCTGGCGCTGCGTTGCCCCCAGAGCCTGCCTTAACGCTGGGCGAGCCCTGCAACACCCATCCTCGAGCGGCCTGTTCCCGAAAGCAGGACAAGCCGCCCCACGACTGGTCTGGTGCAGACCGCGACGCGCGAAGTGCAAGTATCTTCGCGTCCCTGAGGGTGACCCAGGTCTCCCCACCAACAATGAAGAACCTCTCAAGCAAAGCCTACTTCGGGGCGGGGTGAGAACACTGATCAGAAACTGCCTCCGGGGCGTTTGTAGAGCGTGGAGAGAATCTGAAGCATGTAGGGCCGTGATGCTGTGAGATCAATCGTGGATACAAGTGGCCAGTCGAGTCGAAACTCTACTCGCCTCGTCTGCAGCTCCTCTCTCACGTGACCCTGCCCGCTGCCCCCCATCACGAGCCCATTATCCCGCTTAGTCTCCGCCTTATCCTCCGCGAGGAGGAGATCAGGGACCCCCCCTTAGTCGACCAAGTCAAGTTCGCCACTACCGAAACTTAACCGCTCCCCATTGCCCCTCTCCACCGCGATGTCTGAAGTCTAATCCGGCTTCAAATCACACTTACGTGTAAAAGACATGCAGCTCTCTCAGGCCATCTTGAGGCCGAACTCGATGCCTAAAGAAGAAGCAATTACCGGACAATCTTGAAGCCGAATCTGCCTTCCAAAGACACGCAATTCTGTCAGCCGTCTAGAATCCGAGTTCGAATCCAAACAAACACGCAATTCCCGCAGGTCGTCTCGAAGACGAACTTAGCTTGCAAAGGAAACGCAGGTCTCGCATGCCGTCTTGAAGCCAAATCCGGATCTAAAGAGCTTGAAGCCGAATTGGACTTCCAAGACACGCAGTTGTCTCAGGCCGTCTCGAGGCCGAATTCGCAGTGAAAGGCACGCAGATCTCTCAGACCACCTTGAAGCCGAAATCTGTTTCCCGAATTGAAGCCGAACTCGATTTCAAAAGCGCGCAGTTCTCTGAAGCCAATCGCCCCCCCCTCTGTCTCGCTCCTCCACCCCGTTCGAGCCAACTCATTCCCCTCGCGCTCCTAGTTCTGCGACTGCCTCTCCCGCCCATTCGCGTGACTCTCTTCGTGTCTGCTTCGGCGTGGCAGTCTCAAGTCTCACGGTGCAGCCACAGCTAGCGCCGAGACTCGTTTCGCCATTGGGGCCCTTCGGACGTCCCGACCCGCAAGCGGTCCTCCGACAGGGGGGGACTTTCCGTTTCTGTTGTCGCTATTGCGCCTCTTCCTCCTCCATGTTCCTGGAGGGAGAAGAAGGACTGCCTACACACGGACACTTCCGGCGGCCCACGCGGACCATCGACTCTCCTTCTCTCAACCTCCTCCTCCGATCAACAATACAACTATTATTCGCACTCTTCTTCCATAATCCTCCTTCCTCCTCGTACCCTCCTCCTGCTACTGCTGTGTTCAGCAATCCTGACGCCGACGGGGGCTTCGGCGAACCATCTGGTCACGGGGGAAGAGCGATGGGCATACCTCAGCCTACGAAGGCCAGCTGGCAGACGATGCGATGCAAACAAACTGTTCGGGCCTGATGTATTCGGCGTGCGGGCAACGCCAGAGAGCGGGGCGCCTCGCATCGTCGTTGGCAATCGGATCGGAGAAGGGCAAGTCAATACCAAGCTCCTCGACGCTGTGAGACAGGAGCCACTCCACCTCGTCGGCGCAGGGGGGCCCGCTTCTAGCGAGAGATGGAAGCACTGCGGAGACTTAGGCAAACATGCAGAGCCCGACGGGAGCGGGAGGGAGGAGAGGCAATGAGGGGAGAAGGGGTGGTTGAAGGAGGAAACAGGGGAGGTCGTGACGAAGGCAGGAGAGCGCATCGAAAGGGGCCGGCCTTCTAAGAAGGCGTGCGGGGGAATACTAAGAAGGCAAAGGGCTGTTCAAAATCCCTCCCGGCGTCTAGGAAGCCTTCTTAGAAGCCTACAGGCGCCTCGAAGGAGGCCCCCCTGGCTTCGCAGAAGGCCCCCCCCCCGCCTCAGAAGGCCGCCGCTCTCGCGCTACCCCACTGTGCCCGCCGCCGACATGGTTTCCAGGCCACGACTCGTGCCTCCAGCGGCCGTTCGGGAAGATCCGGGCACCCCAGAAGCACTCTCGGCTAGGTGCAGCTGTTGGAAAGCACCCCGAGGCTGGAGGACCTCCAGCAGCCAACGAAACTGACAAAAACCTTAGTGCAGGATGACGGGCAACAAAAAAGACAGTGGAACGATCCGAGGGCAGCGGGTGCCAGGGCGGAGGAAGCTCCCCCCCTGATTTGCACACACGACATGGGTGCGGAATCATTGGGCACGATGTCCAACAACGAACGCTGTCCAAAACCGGCGGCGGCCGCTATTTGGCAGGCGATTGTCTGATTCAAATCGACAACACGCCCCAACGTTATGATTTGCTCATAGGCTAGATCCGCGGAGATCTCGACCCCTTTCCAGGGACCCATTTAGTTGTTTTGTGTGTGTATATTATTTTATAATATATATATATATATATATGTATAAAAGCCCCGGGGCAAAGCGACGGCCCCCACTTTGAGGACAGCGGTGGCTGCTAAGGGATAGGGGGGTTATAAGTGGATGTGAAGGTGGGTTGTATTTGGCCCGACCTAGCTTAGAAGTCGGCTACGAATGCTCCATTTGGCTTTGAAGACAATCAAGTGCCTCCAGTAAAATGGACGGCGCCCCTCAGCCCAGATCTCTGCCCCCACATAAAGCCGCTGAGGGCACTTTGCATCCCGCTCATCGGCTACGTCAGGCCGGATAAAGCCTACGCAGCACCGCGCATTTGCGAACACGAGCGAGGGGGCAGGCACGGAGCGGGTCGCAGGTGTGTCGCTCGCGGGTGAGTCGCCCGTGGGTCGCTGGGGATACACAAGGCACCAATACCGCTACTCCCCGGACCTCTCCTGGGGTGTGTTTGGACCAGGATTTCGAAGCGAATCCAGCGGTGGTGACGAGGGGCGCCCAGGACGCCCAAAAAAGGGAAAACGAGCGAAGGGTAGAGGTATGGGTACTTTTTCCTCCTGAGTCGCGGGGTGTGTCGCAGGTGGGTCGCGGTGGGGACGACTCCAACAAAGACAACAAATACAGGGAGGTTTAAAAACTTTTGAAACTAAGGATTAAACAATCGAGGTTGTCCCGTAGAGATTGCAGCCCCGAAGCAAGGCAGACAACACAACTAGGATTTTCTTTTTAGAAAGAAGCGGACCCGCGACGACGCACGAAACAAAACAAGGAACACCCTGGAACAGCAGGAGGAAGATTTGGAAAACAAATCAGTCGAGAGATCTGAGGAGTGTCCAAAGGATGACTTGACGCGGCTGCAAAGCCATAAATTAGGATGAATGTTTCGGGAATAGTTGCGGAAATATCTGAGGGAGGAAGATCTGGCGGAAGATCTGGCGGAAAATCTGGCGAAAAATCGGACGGAAAGTCTAACGGAAAATCTGGTGGAAGATCCCGCGGAAAATCTGGAGGATAAATCTGGCGAAAAATCTGTTGGAAGATCTGGCGGAAGATCTTGAGGAAGATCTGGCGGAAAATCAGGCGGAAGATCCGGCGGAAGATCTGGCGGAAGATCTCGCAGGAGATTTAGAAGAGCAACCTGGAGGAAGATTTAGTTGAAGATCTGGCGGAAGATCTCGCGGAAGATCTGGAAGAAAATCTGGCGAAGATCTGGTGGAAGATCTCGCGGAACATACATATATATATAAAGATCTGCCAGAAAATCTGGCGGAAGGTCTGGCGGAAGATCTTGCGGAAGATCTTGCGGAAGATCTGGCGGAAGATCTGGAGGATGAAACTGGCGGAAGATCTGGCGGAAGATCTGGCGGAAGATGTGAAATATAACTCTGGAGGGAAATCTGGCGGAAGATCTGCCCGAAGATCTCGCGGAAGATCTAGCGGAAGACCTGACGAAAGATCTCGCGTAAGATCTGGAGAAAGATTCGGCGGAATCTCAAGAGGAAGATATGGTGGAAGATCTGGCGAAAGATCCCGCGGAAAATCTAGTGGAAAATCTGCCAGAAGATCTGGCGGAAGATCTTGAGGAAGATCTGGCGGAAGATCTGGAGGAAGGTCAGGCGGAAGATCTGGATGATAGATGTGGCGGAGAATATAGCGGAAGACCTGGCGGAAGATATGGAATGCAAATCTGGCTGAAGATCTGGCGTAAGATCTGGCGGAAGATCGGGCGAAAGATCTGACGGAAGATCTGGAGGAAAATCTGGCGAAAGAGCTGTCGGAAAATCTGGAGGATAAAACTGGCGGAAGATCTCGCGGAAGATCTGGAGGAACATGTGGCGGAAAATCTGGAGAACGACGAGGCGTAGCAGGACGAGGAGGAGCAGGGAGGGGAAAAGGAGGAGGAGGCGGTGGAGAAGGACCATCATAGGCACCTCGCGCCCAATTCGGGGCCATCAGCAAGGCTCGTTTTGGGAAGAAGGACCATCATAGGCCTTCGCGCTCAATTTGTTCATTGAACTCAACTTTCTTGTCGTCGTCGTCGTCCTCCTCCTCCTTCTCCTCCTCCTGGTCTCCACCCCATCGGAGCCGCGATACAGGCAGTGCGGGCAGCACCTCGGCCTCATGGAGGATGAGCACGACGAACGTTGTTGGTGGACGTCCGCCCTTGCCCTCTCCCCCCCCGGTGAGGACCATCATAGGCCTTACCGGTGAGGACCACCATGAGGTCTCACACCCCTCGCAGTTTCCATCATTGGAACTGCGGGGGTCGAACCGAATCCCCACAAACCTGGCACCGTACGTGCAGTGCCAGGGGCGGCGGCCCGTCTTCCCATCCTACCATCATAGGGGGATGCGAAGTCCCTGAAGACGGGACGGGGTGGGCACGAGCGGGCATCATAGCCGGCTCAAAATCAAAAGAGGCATCATAGCCTCATCAATCAAGATTGATCCACTCACGGATCCACTGCAATTGATTTTCATTGAATTCATTCCATGCGTAGCATGCTCTCCCCTAATGGACCGTGAACGGGACCCAGTCCCCTGCCGGTCGTCTAGTGCCGCCATCATAGGCAACCAGCGGGGCCATCATAGGCACCTCGCACCCAATTCGGGGCCATCAGCAAGGCTCGTTTTGGGAAGAAGGACCATCATAGGCCTTCGCGCTCAATTTGTTCATTGAACTCAACTTTCTCGTCGTCGTCGTCCTCCTCCTCCTTCTCCTCCTCCTGGTCTCCACCCCATCGGAGCCGCGATACAGGCAGTGCGGGCAGCACCTGGACCTCATGGAGGATGAGCACGACGAACGTTGTTGGTGGACGTCCGCCCTTGCCCTCTCCCCCCCCGGTGAGGACCATCATAGGCCTTACCAGTGATCTCGAGGACCACCATGAGGCCTCACACCCCTCGCAGTTTCCATCATTGGAACTTCGGGGGTCGAACCAAATCCCCACAAACCTGGCACCGTACGTGCAGTGCCAGGGGCGGCGGCCCGTCTTCCCATCCTACCATCATAGGGGGATGCGAAGTCCCTGAAGACGGGACGGGGTGGGCACGAGCGGGCATCATAGCCGGCTCAAAATCAAAAGAGGCATCATAGCCTCATCAATCAAGATTGATCCACTCACGGATCCACTGCAATTGATTTTCATTGAATTCATTCCATGCGTAGCATGCTCTCCCCCCCCGACATGGCCCCCCCCGGGTCCCAAACCCACTCAAGTCCCCGGACCCCCCCAGGTCCTGGACCCCCCTCCTGGTCCCTGACCCCCCCTGGTCCCGGATATATGGAAGGAGAGCTGGGGGAAGATCTGGTGGGAAATCCGGGGAGAGCAGGAGGAGGAGGAGGAGGAGGAGGAGGAGGAGGAGTGTCTGCCTCCGTGTAAATTCGAGTCGGTCGGGGTTCCTCTCGTCATGGCTGGATCGGTTGCCTTGATTTGGGTTTGCAGTGGGCCCTCTTGGGCGGACCCCACCGTGTTGGGGTCTGCTCGTCCTCGAGGCCACGTGAGGGCCCTCCGTTCTGATGCTCTCCCATGGGGGAGGGGGGATCTTTCCACCGTGGAGGCCCAGATTGTCAAGGAAGGAAATGATGCGATCATTCAGGGAGGGATGCTTCATGCCGCTGCCGCTGTTCGAGGCACCCCTTTTGTTCTTGAGACATGCTCTCCAACTATTGTGTCGCCATTTTGCTTGTACACGTTTGAACGTGTCGTCCGTCCCGATTCTATCTTTGGATCCTCCTCTTCCTTTCATGGATTGTTCTGTGGGCTTGAGTGCCAGGGACTGAGCATGAGCACTGGTGCCCTGCTTCTTTCGCACCTCCCGACCGTCCAGTCTTCTCTCCCAGAACCCCTTGTCCCGTATGTCTGCAGCCCGCCGTTGGAGGATTGGGGGGCGCCTGACAGGGTGTGGACCTGGGAATGACGCTCTATCTCCTCTCCCTTCCTTGTCCTGTTTTTGCTTAGATAGGCAGCCATGTCACATGCCTTGAGACCCGACCCGACCCGACCCGACCGAGGAGGAGGAGGAGAAGGAGGAGGAGGAGGAAAAGGAGGAAAAGGAGGAGGAAGAGGAAGGAGGAGGGAGGAGGGAGGAGAGCGGGAGGAGGGAGGAAAAGGGGAAGGAGGAGGAGGAGGAGGAGAGAGGAGGAGGAAGAGGACCAGGAGGAGGAGGAGGAGGAAGAGGAGGAGGAGGAGAAGGAGGAGGATGGGGGAGAAGAAACAGGAGGAGGAGAAGGAGGAGGAGGAGGAGGGAGGGAGGGAGGAAGGGAGGGAGAAGGGAGAAGGGAGGAGGGAGGAGGAGAAGGGAGGAGGAAGATCTGGGGGAAAAGCTAGGTGGAGATATGGGGGGAAAGCTTGGGGAATATCTGGACGAAGAGCTGGGGGCTCCTGCTCTTCCACCGCCTCCTCCTTTCCCTCCTTCTCCACTCCGTCCTCCTCCTCCTCCTGCTACACCTCCTCCTCCTCCTCCTCCTCCTGTTCTTTCGCCAAATATTCCTCCAGAACGTCCGCCGGAACTTCCGCCAAATCTTCGGTCAATTTTCTCCTCCAGATCTTCCTCCAAATCTTCCGCCAAATCTACCTCCAAATCTTCCACCAGAACTTCTGCTAGATCTTCTGCGACATCTCCCGCCAAATTCATATTCCAAATCTTCCGCCAAATCTTCCGCCGAATCTTCCGCCAAATTTATCCTTCAAATGTTCCGCCAAATGTTCCGCCACATCTTCTGCTAAATCTTCCTCCAAATGTTCCGCCAAATCTTCCAGCAAATTGCTCCTCCAACTCTACCGCGAGATCTTCCGCCAAATCATCCGCCAAATTTTCCGCCAGCTCGTCCGCCAAATCTTTCTCCAAATGTTCCGTCAAATATTCCGCCAAATCTTCCGCTATATGTATCTTCCGCCAGATTGATCCTCTAAATCTCCCGCGAGATGTTCCCGCAAATCTTCTGCCAAGTGTTCCGCCAAATCTTCCGCCAGATCTTCCTCCAGATCGTCCTTCCAATCGTCCGCCATATCTTACTCCAAGTCTTTCGCCAAATCAATCATCCAAAATTTCCGCCTGATCTTCCGCCAAATCTTCCGTCAGATCTTTCGCCAGATCTTCCGCGCCAAATCTTTCGCCAGAATCTTCCGCCAGATATTTCACCAGATTTTACTCCCTCAGATTTTCCCGCAGATCATCCCTCAAACATTTCTCCAAATGTATCGTTTTGCAACCTCCGACAGGGGGAGGAGGAGGAGGAGGAGGAGGAGGAGGAGGAGGAGGAGGAGGAGGAGGGGGAGAAGGAGGAGAAGGGAGAGGAGGAAGAGGTGGGGGGAAGATTGCCGTGACCATTCTTAAAACTAGGTTTTCGACTATCACTCGCGCGATGACGGCAGGGCATGCAACAACATAAAGAATTTACAACATATGATTTTAGAGTAGGTCCGCGAAACTGAAGCCGGGCATGCCCGTCTAGTGGTTTGAACTCCCTGTAAGCAGAGGGCGGGCCACGAAACACCACGCCACCCATGCATCCAAGGAAGGTGTAACACACACTGTTCGGGCCCCTCGCTCTGACCTTCGGTGAATATCCTTTAACCGGGTGCCGATGATACAAGAAGGTCCCTCCTTAACACGCTAGAGTTGATTATCCACGGGCAATAAGAGTTTGGTCAGGGGCGCGGGGAGCGGAGGCCGAACATTTTTATCACTGTGAAAAGTTCACCATCGAGGTTAACTTCCTTCTTACGTTGAGATAGCAAAATCAAGCGAAGCGAAAACGTTTTCGAGGATGTCTCAAGCGAAACCAACAGTTTTTGGAGGCAGCCTCAAGCGAAACGATCAATTGTTCAAGGATGTCTCAAGCGGAACCAACAATTCTTCGAGGATGTCTCAAGCGAAGCGAGAGACTCGTCGATGAGAGATTTCCTTCTCCTCCTCCTCCTCCTCCTCCTCCTCCTCCTCTCTCGCTTTCATGTTCTCTCTCTCTCTCCCTCTCTCTCTCTCTATATATGTCTTTGTCTCTGTCTCTCTCTCTCTCTCTCTGTATTTATCCTTCTCCCCCTGGCCCCCTGAACTGTTTCATCGCTGTGGTTTACTATCCACGGATACCGAGGCACGCGAGCTACCCTACCGAGCAGATGAAAATCTGAATTTCCATTATTTCTTTACACCTTAAATTCTATAGGTTTGGAAATTTGGCGTTTCTCCTCCTCCTCCTCCTCCTCTCTCTCTCTCTCTCCTTCTGTCTGTTTATCGTTCTGTATATTTCTGTCTCTGTCTCTCTCTGTCTTCCTCCTTCTCCCCCTGGCACCCTGGACCTCGATCCCCGATCTTCGATTTTCGACCCTCGGACCTCGATCCTCGATCCTCGGACCTCGCCGCCGTCGATCCTCAGACCTCGATCCTCGACTCTGGGATCTCGATCCTCGATCCTCGGACTTCGATTCTCGATCCTCGATCCTTGGCTTTCGGTCCTCTTAACATCATCTCTTTCTCCTCCCACATGCTGGCCTCCGGTAGGCAACATTTAGGATCCCCCCGCAACCCCGAACTTTATTATCCCTGTGGCATTAATCTCGGCAGCACAGGGTTAACCGATCCCCATCCCCAGCGGCGTGGCCTTCGGCCTCACTGGCTGCTTTACCCCCTAGATGGGGATATAGGTCGTTCCCTTCGAGTTTCGAGGGGTGTATCCCCAACTGGGGTGGCAATTTGGTGGGGGTCTCTAAGGGGATAGGGATGGGGATGGGGAGTGGTCAAACGATACCGACTTCGCACGCACTGAAACCCTATCTCCTTGCCCCCTCACCCCCCGCGGTCATCCAAACAAACATCATTTTTTTAACGCACGAGATGGGTACGGAAAAAGTGGGTACAATGCCCATCAACAAATGTTGTCGCCGCTGCTGGGCAGGCGGCTTTTTGTCTTAAATTAGCAACGCTCGCGGAGGTGCGGACAGAGAGTCTTGCTCAAGATGAAGAAGAACTGCTGTTGGACTTTTTCTTTCCGTGCCCAGTTCGATCGCCCCGGATTCTGGCAACAGAACAGCTGTCGTGATTTTTTCCACGGGGCCCGACGTACAGGCCCGACGGCGACGACGCGCCGTCGGCGATCCCTCCCCCGGCCTTTGAGCGCTGCAGCTCCGGGTCGACGTCCGCGAGCGAAGCGGCGCCCGCGGGCCTGCGCGGGCGCCCTTCCCCTCCGCTCTGGCCGGCCCCCTGCAGCAGGGGGAGGAGTCCTCCTCCTCCTCCTCCTCCTCCTCCTCCTTCTCCTCCTCTTCCTCCTCTTCCTCCTCTTCCTCTCTTCCCTCCTGCTCCTCCTCCTCCTCCTCTTCCTCCTCCTCTCCTCCTCCTTCCTCCTCCTTCCTCCTCCTCCTCCTCCTCCTCCTCCTCCTCCTCCTCCTCCTCCTCCTCCTCCTCCTCGGATCGAGGGATGCTCGCGAGAGGCAGGGTCGAGGATCTGCGGGTCGAGGACCCGCTTCTCTGGGGCGTTGCTGCTCGTCCCTGCTGGGTCGAGGAGATCGGTCTGATGTTTTCCCCAGGAGTGAAGGGCCCTCTTCCGAGGGGGTCGAAGATCGGGGGTCCAGGATCGACGCTTCTGTTGGCGGGTTTTCGTGTCTGTTGGGCCGCGGGTCGAGGATCAGGGGTCGGGGATAGACGTTCTTCCCTAGTGGCGTTTCGCTGGAGGGCGTTCATATTCTCACCAGCCCTCTGGGCGTAGGTGGTCTAACGAGTTCCCTCTTTCCTCTGCCAAAGCCCTCTGCCCTTCTGGGAGGGGTACCCTCCCCCCTCCCCTCCCTGCGGTTTTCTGGGAGGGGGGCCGATGCGGTAGAGCGTCCAAGATGGCTCAAGATAGCTTCCAGGGGGCAAGGGATGCGTCCGCATAGCGTCACCCAGCACGGGCAGGGAAGTCAAGAGCTTCTGTGGTTGAAAATTCGTAGCCCTGCTTGCCGGACCCAGGGCCATGTCATCTTCACCATAGCGCCCTTGGCTGGCGCCCTAAGCTTTTGTCAAGTTCCCAAATCAGGAACCGGAGGTTTTCCACCCACGCGGTGATTTCCTTTCCCATCCGTCTGCGGTTCCTCACCGAGCCAGCGCACCCTGCAAGCCCCGCACTGCGTTGTCAGCTTCCTTGCCTACGTGCTCCAGGTTCGCTTTCAGCCGCCTCGAATCTAATCAACATCATAGTTGTTATCGTTATCGTCATCATCATTGCCATAATCATTACTCCCATCTCGTACTCCACCTCGTCCTGCTACACATCCTCCTTATGTGTCCCTGCCGCTGCTTCTCCTCTCGCTGCTCCGCCTTTCCTCATGCCGCACATCCTGCTTTGCCGCCTGACCCTGTCTCCTCATTCCCTGCTCCTCCCAGTCCTCCTCTTCTTCCTCCTCCGCCGTCCATGCCGCTTCAAACCTCCTCCTTCCACCCTGATCGGAACAGAGCGGTGTGATGAAACACGTCATGCATGCACGTCGTGGGGCTGTGAAGGCAGCTCTGTGCAACGATGCATGCGAGAACTATATGGTCCCTGCCTGCCCCCGAGCTTGGTCTGGGACTTGCTTGACTTGATGGCGCAAAGGCAAGCGACCGCTGAAGGGCTACTTGCCGAGGGGAAGTGATGCTGGGAGCGGCCGCGCGAGGTGATGCAACATCACCACCCTCCGCTCTCGCCCTCCCCCGCCAAAAGGCGCCTTTGCCCCCAATATCCCGTCGGGCCACCCTGATTCTGTGAGCTCGGCACCCAGGCGAAAGCTGTGGGCGGGAAGCTCGGCAAAACAGAACGGCCCGAACCGGTCTCGAGAGAACATCCCTGGGAAATTGAAGGCGGAGCAACAGATAGCACTCCACGTCGTCTGTCCGCGCAACACGGTTTGAAAGGGAAGGGGGCAAATCAGATCGGGCCAGATCGTGCGTCGGATCGGGCTGCATCGGTACGGAGTCGAAATAGAATCGGAGCGACTGCGCCAGGATGTACAACAGAGCCATACAAACTTCGAGTCGTGTTCTCCATCGCCATGCTTCTCCTCCTGCGTCCCCTCATCCTCCTGAGACCGTATTCTCCTGTACCTCGTTCGCAAGTCCTCTCCTCCATCATCATTTCCATCCCTCCTCTCCTCCTCCATCGCCATTTCCATTGTCGTCATCATCAGCAGCATCACCAGCAGCAGCACCACTATCACCACCCTTCAAAACATCACCAGCAACAGCAGCAGCATCAACACCATCACCATCATCATCAACAACAACTACATCAGCATCATCGCCATCACCAACAATAGCAGCATAAACATGAACATCAGCAGCAGCAACATCATCATCATCATCATCATCATCATCATCATCATCATCATCACCACCATCATCATCATCACCATCATCATTCCCATCATCATCATCATCATCATCATCATCATCATCAGCAGCAGCAGCATCATCACCATCATCATCATCATCACCACCACCAGCATCTTCACCACCATGACCATCACCACCGCTGCTTAGCCTCGGCCCCAGGGCCGAGGTCGACGAACAACTTTTCGTCAGCGGTGAGGCGACGAACTCCGCTCCAGCGAGAAGCTCGATAGGGGCACCAACTAGCGAATCGGCCGGCGAGCAAGGAGGGGGGGGGGGGACGCCCGAGAGGAAGAAGGGACGCTCAGACGCCGAAGACTTCGACGAGAGGTCGACGAAAAACACGCCCGGACTTAAAAACAGAAAACACAAGAAAGCGCCGGGGACCCCGAGGCAGAGGCGTCGACCGGCCCCCGGGGGGGAGCCCGCCCGCCTGCCGAAGCCGAAGAGCAGGGCGCACACGCGCGGGTGCAGCGGCAGGTCCAGCGTGCAGCTGTGCCACAGCGCCAGGCCGACCAGGCGGCCGAGCGCCTGCCGGGCTCGCGCGGGCGCGCCGACCGCTGGAGAATCTCAGAGGCGACGATGGGGGCGAACAGCCCAGGGGAGAGCAATACGTGTCTTCAGGTGCGCCGATGAGCTATGTCTTCGAACAGGCTCCCCAGCGTATTCGCCCGCATCGTCGCCGCCGAGAGAAAGCCCGCCCTCCCGAAGATCCCGGCGCCGCATCTCGGTGCGCCACGGGCGATCTTGTCCTGCTGCGGGCCCCGGGGGCCTTCACGGGTCGATCCGGCTGACGTGCAGCGGAGAAGGGGGGCTCAGGTCCGCGGTTGTTTCTCTCTGCGATGCTACAATTGTTGGTGGCGTGCCAGCGGGTCTGCACCCCCCCGCTGATCACATGTGATCCCCGTAGGGGCCCACGGCAGCCGTGGGCGCTGGATGGATGGGGGCAGGGGAGCATGGTCCAGGTGATCTCTGCGAACACCGAGAGCAGTGAGGAGCCCGCTCGGACAGAGTAGATGGCAGGTCACGTCACGCCACCGTAGCGTGAGGAAATGGCATGGCGTGGGCGGCCACGCACCTGAGCAAACGATGCATTCTCGTACAGGCCCTGATGCTGGCTTGCAGTCGATGCAACCTCTGGTGCCCTGGTGGGCTTCTACCATCGAGTTATGCCCTCAGATATCTTCTCGGCCATCTCTGCTCAGCCCCGCTTACGGCATGCGTTGTTGAAGTGCGCATCTGTCATGCTGCTGACGGGCATGCTCGCTTCAGCCAGTCTCTTGCCCAACGAGACGGCTGTTTCCAGCCTGCCGACCGTAATGTAGCAGCGAATTGCGCAACAGTGAGCGTTCGTGCCTGGCTCAGCCATATCCTCCTGCATTGCCTCGAGGATTTCCCGAGCCTCTGTGGTCCTCTCTGCTGTCGCGCACGCCCTTATCATGGCGTGGTATGTCCAACTGCTGATGATCAACCCCTGCCAGGTCACATCACCGCACACCGAACTCGCCGTGGGTGTGGACACGCGCCGCCCTGTCGAAAGCCACCTGGTCCGGCTCGACTCCCTGCCTCACCATGACACCGAAGAGCTTCAGCGTGGGCTCGCATCTAGCTGGAGAGTTCCGCCGCCATGCTCTGATGGCGAGCCCTGGGAGCTGGCGCGCCCGATGAAGCACGCAAGCATGGGCGAAACGATTGTCCAGAACTCCTCCTCTTCCGTGCAAATCTTGCTCAGGACAAAGACCGAACGAGCAGGCTCATGAGCGCGCACGTGGAGTCGTACGAAATACTCCGAGCCGAGGCGGCAAATGTGGCGTTCATGCTGAACTAGATCGATAAGATGATGCGTGCTAAAGTGTTCGCCACGTTTGGGGTAACACGTGTCTTGATCGAGAATGTCTGCAGAACATCAGGGCGAACACCATGAATTGGTGAAATCGGGGTCGCCTGTATTCTTCTCTTCGTCGCGGCCGAGCACCTGGCTGGGTGCATGCGGGTCGTCGGCAATTGAAACATGTCCGTGGGGCACCTGCTGGCAAGCTGGTTCCGATTTGGTGTGTCTACCGCTGGCTGGGTGATCCGCTTGATCTCCTGCCATGTATGACACTGAAGCGCATACTTTCCAAACGTAACGCGGATGATATCCTCATCTTCCTCCTCCTCACGCTGACGCTTACGCTGGCGGCACTTCGGTCCCGCCCCGCCTCCACCTGCTCCTCTCCCACGGAACGCTCCACGCTCCACGGCGCCACTTTCCCTTTCTCGGGGCGTTCGCGCATAAGGGGTAATCGTATAACAGTCCCCCTCCCTGCTCCATGAACCGTGCTTCCCTGCAACCCTCAAGACCCTTCAGGGGGAAGGGGTCGTCGAGGGAACGGGTTCTAGACCCCGAGGGTTTCGGTTCATCGTCCTGAATCGTCTTTGACTGCCCCGGAGCCCGTGGAGGGCCATGGGGCCGTTTAAAACGGTGACGAACCGCAGGACCCGTTTCCTCCTGCAACTTCGTGGCGACGAGGGGGGAAGGGGCGACGCCCTTCCTTCATGTCCTCCTCCCCGCCTGGGGACGCAAAGACACCGAGACTACAAGAAAGCTCAGCCGAATCGGGCAGAGACGGCACCAGGCCGACGCTCGGGCAGCGCGACTGGCAGTCCTGTCGGAAGCCGCGTGTGATCACAAGCCCCTCCTGCCTACATCCTGGCGCATGACGTGCGATTGTGCAACCCGTGCCCCATTTCGTAAGGGAACTCCAGACGGAGACTGCCTGACGCGAGGGCCCGTGCATCCCGGTTGGAGTTCGCGTTGGCATGAGGGAAACTGGCGCACTCAGGAAACAAAAGGAACCCGAAAACTTGGGGGGGGGGTGTTTCCAGACATGCGGTGCCCTGATGTTTAGCACCCTTTCCCCAAGACCGGTTTTTCATGCTGAGTCGTTTGTTGGCGATTTTCTGATTTTGATCAGAAAGGCGAGGCTCTTTCTGGAATGCCTCGCATTCTGGCCCTTGACGCCGGACCTCCCCGAGACCAGCTCTTTATCCCGAACGGTTCGGGTGCCCGACAACAGCGAGAGCCCTCAAGGACCAAATTCTTCCAAAGGAGCAGACACGGTAAATGGGAGGCACAGAGACATACTAATACTATATGTCCTCCTTGGAGGCGCGCGTCCGACCCGTACATATATATATATATATATATATATATATATATATATATATATATACTGGAACCATCGCGCGCGCTTCGCGCGCGCTCAGGTTCTAGCCCAGGCCTGGGGCGCGCTAGAAGATCTTGGACAGCGCTATCAAGCACAGGCGCGTGACATAGTCGTGCCTCCTGAGGGCCTCTTGGGAACCTCTTGGATCTTCGAGGAGGCATCTGAAGAGCTTCTGGGGGGTTCTCCGTGTTTCCTCAATTGGCTGTTGGAGCACCTCTTGGGTGCTTCTCGGGGGGGCATCTTGGGGCTTCTTGGGGTCCCTTGGGGGCATCGTCAGGGTTCTGCGGGCAGTCGGAAAGTGATGTTCTGCAGTCTGAAGCAGTCAACTGACCGTCTTGACTGCGTGGAGGCCCGGCTTGAGGCCACATTGGGGCAATCCGGACGCCTCCCGGGGCCTCCTTGAAGCATGATGCATCGAGAGCACTGTTCGGCTATCTTGGGGCCCCGTGTACGTCTCCTGTGAGCCTTTTAGGGCCTGGTGGGGGGCTTTGGGGGGCCTCGTCGGACCACTTGGGGACTGTTGGGGCCTCCTCTGGGCCTCTTAGGGCGGAAAGCTCTGCTGTTGGGTTCGCGTTCCCCTTCTTGGGGCTCTCTTGGGGCCCTCTTGGGGCCCTCTCGGGCCGTGTTGGGCCTCGGGCACCGTCTTGGGGCCCTCGTGGGTCGTCTTGGGGCCCTCTTGGAGGCCTCTTCGGCTATCTTGGAGCGGTCTTGGGGGCCACCTGGCCCGTCTTGGAGCGTCGGGATGCCAAAAGGCTGGGAACTCTAAAATCCATCAAAAGCCGATGGGGAAACAATGCTTCTTGGAACCTCTTCGGCCTTCTGGGGAGCTTCTTGAGGGCCTCTTGGGTCCCATTTGGGGGCCTCTGGGGCTTCCTGAGAGCCTCTCGGGGTGGAAGGCTCGGATTTTCGGTTCTTCTTAGCCCTCTTAGGCCCCCCTTGGGGCCGTATTGGTGCCCTCTCGGGCTGTCTTGGGCCCTGTTGGATGCCTCTTGGGCTATCTTGGATTGGTCTTGGAGGCCTTTTGGGCCGTCTTGGAGCGTCAGGACGCCAAAAGGCTGAAAACTCGAACATAAATCAAAAACCTATGACAAGACAGAGGCCTTCGTGGGAGGCCTCTTGGATACTCTTCGGCCCCCTGGGGGGCTTCTTGGGGCCTCTTGGAGCCTGTCAGGGGCTTCTCGGGGCCTCCTGAGAGCCTCTCGGGGTGGAAGATTCGGATTTTCGGATCGTGTCAACCCTCTTGGCTCCATCTTGGGGCCGTCTTGGGGCCCTCTCGGGCCGCCTTTGGCGCCTCTAGCGCCGTCTTGGGACCCCCGTGGGCTGTCTTGTGACCGTCTTCGAGGCCTCTGGGGATGCCTCGGAGCGGAAATTGAAGCCTCTTGGGCCGTCGTGGAGCGTCAGGAAACTCAAAAGGCGAGAACTCGAAAATAGATCAATTACTCCGACGGAAGAACCCCACATAAGAATCCTCTGGGCGAATCTGGAAAAAGCCATCACCGTCGTCCTCGTGGTTGGTGAGGCGTCCTGGCTGTCTCTTCTGCGTATATTTCCTCTCGCCTTGGCGCGGGCCCCCCTTCCACTCCTTACGTTGTCCCCATCCTCGCCCCCCTGTTTGTTCCGCGCCCCGCCACCTCCTCCCCTTCCTGTTGCATGAGCGCGCATGTCGATGTTCCTCGGCGCCGTCGCCGCCACGGCCAGCACAGGCGCGTTCTCTACAGGTCACGTCGCGCAGCCGTTGGGACAACCCCGCGGGCCAGGCTGTCGGGGCAACCCCGCGAGCCGTTGGCGCGCAAGACCAAGCCGTTGGGACAACCCCGCGGGCTTCGAGCGAGGCGCAGCCGCGCTCAGGCGGAAGGCAGCACGAAGCCCAGCTCTGCCGCGAGCTGCTTCGCCTCCGCCCTGGACAAAACCGCTCTCTTGTCGAACTCCAGGAGCGCCTTCCGCAGGGACGCCGGCGGCCCGCACTCCAGGAACTCTCGCGGCGGCGGCCGCAGGATCAGCATGTTCCGCATGCACGTGGCGCGGGAGAACATGACGTAGAGGTGCAGCCACCACTGCTCGTCCGACATGCCCGTGCGGCCAGCGTCCTCGTCTCTCGCGCAGTCGATGGTGACGCCCTTGCGCAGCGTCTGGCCCTGCGACAGCGTGGAGGTCAGGTAGGACGCGTGCGTCAGGGTGAACCCCGAGCGGCGCACGCTGTGCGCCCCCGAGCTCTGCCATGTGAACTCCCTTTCGCTGGGCCTGAACATCAGCAAGCTCCGCGCCCGCGCCTCGGCCTGGCCGTCGTCGTCGGCGCCTTCGGCGCCCTGTCGCAGCACCTCG